GACGAAGGGACTGCAAATTCTGTCACCGAAATTCCAAATTCTGACCAAAACTCCAAGGTTGCAAAATCTTTGTCTAAGCACCGAATTGAGCTGCGTTTGGTGCCCCGCGATCATGACGGCATGCTCAGTGTGATCCAGTGAATAAATCACAGAAAAAATCAAGGAACAAGCACACTATCAATTTGAAGTTTCAAAATTCAATCAAATTTCAAGTCATATGATCGAGTCCTAAAAATATGATCCGTGGCTCGAAGTTGGTATCAATTCGATCGCTCTACCGAGCCCTACAAGAAAACAATCATCTTTCGATCAACCAGGCATCAGAATAATCTCAAATCATCCATGAAAAATCGTACATGTTATAGGGCAACACAGGGACTGTGCTAAAATTTTGTGAATTGTTTGGAATGGGCAAATCTGTCATTTTCTACCCTATTTTCTAATTTCTTTTAATTCAGTTAAAGCTTAATTTCCAGCAATTAGGTTTAATTTTGATCAATCCACCCATGTTTGGGGAAAATTTTATATATGCCACATACCATCATTGTACGCATGAGGACTCAACCCTTTGCCAAAAGAGAGTTTTACTTAATAAAATTTCTCTTTCTTCTCATTGTTGGGTCACATTTGGAGAGAGAGAGTTAGGTGAGAGAAACTTTTGAACCGGTACCCCTAGGCTCTAGGTAAATATTTCTCTCTCTTCTCTTTCTTTTCTTCTTCTCTCTCTTCCTTTCTTTCTTGTTCCTCTTCTTCATTTGAGCTCCTCTCAGAGGCCATGCATGGCAGTGGCAGTGCCGTGCATGCCTCTCCTGTGGTCTCATAGGTCGCTCATGGCGATGGCAGCACCATGCACGAGTTTCTTTCCCCTTATTTTGTTTGTTTCTATCTCTTGACAAGGTCTGCAGACGGCGCTGCTCATTGTCATCCGTAGATGTGCCCTCGACATCTCAGTGAAGATCACTGACGAAAAAACTATTTGCTACCCACAAGGGACTCCCCCTGTTGTACACCTATCGTAGACGGCGATGTCTATCGCCGCCCGCAAGAGGTCGCGGAAACGCCTATCGTCGTTTGCAAACTTCCTTCACACGATCGATGCCTATCGCCATCCACGAGCTTCCTTCGTGCGCTCGGTGCCTATCATCATCTGCGAGCTTCCTTCGCACGCTCGGTGCCTATCGCTTTCCGTAAGCCTCCTTCATGCGCTTGTTACTCATCGTCATCCGCAAGTTCCCCTTTGCATCCCACGCCTATCGTCGTGTTCCTTACAAAGAACTATCGTCATGTGCTTCGTAATTGGCTATCGCCACGCACTTGACGAGAGGCTATCGCCACCCACGTAGGGGTGTGTTGCCTTCTCGTTTTGTCCAACAGCGATGCCCAATGTCGTCCGTAATTCGCTGCACACCGTCTAGCCATGAGGAGTAGTGTCTAGCGCCATCCAAGGGCTGCAACATTGTTACTCCACAGTTGTGGGTGGCAACACCTAGTGCCGTCAGGAATCTATCTCTCTGCCATCTCGTGCCTTCTCCCTCATTCTTTTCTCTTCTCTTTCATCACCCTAACCTTTCACATTCTTATCCACACGAATGTGCAGTTCCCTAAGACAAGGGTGGGTCCTCTGGCCCACTTGTCTTGCAAATTAACCATAGTAGTGTTCTACAGAAAACAGGGAGATTGCAGGTCAAGGGAGGCGATTCCAAACCAGCTGAAGCAGCTGGGGGGCTTTCCGTCGTGATCTAAGAGGGTGCCTACACGAGTCAGCCCAAGTAAGTCACCGAATTTCGTGCCGTTGGTCCCCACCTCACATAAAAAATTCCTCTTTTACTAGTTGGATACCTGCCTTTGTTCTAGAACAAGGTTCCCGACAGAGCGATCTCAGGTCCCGGATCTTCTGAACCCGAGATAGTATCACCCGATCACCTGATCCGAGAAGGCGAGATCGAGGCACCTAACCAAGGCGCGATAGGACTTTTGGGCCAAGCATAGAAAATTACGTAGGGCCCAATAGGTGCCACAATGGGTGGGACACCCCACTTAGGACACTTACTATTTTTTGTAATCTATCTCTAAAGCTTGAGAGATATGTTTGTGTTGTTCTAAGAAATCTTAGGCTTGAGAAAATTTTGAATGATATTTTCATTTGTATGAAAAGGCTTATGCATGAAATAAGAAAGTATAATATTATCATATATTAATTTCTTATTTGAATTGATGGGAAAATTATTTAGGATGTGGGGGATAATTGTTCTAGCTCCTTCCATAGAATGTTGATGGCTCATCTATCGAATGGAGAGTTCATATCTCTCACCCTACTAGTCACCGAAGTTCAATGGTGCATATTCAATCTTACTTGAGTGGCAAGCCAAGGAAAACCGTAAGAAACCCTAATCTTGTTCAAGCACTATAAAAAAAAGGTTGATCGTTACCCAAATCTCTACTCCTTAGAATTTCCATCTCTCTCTCTCTTGATCACCTTGGGGGCATGCCCCACTCTAGCAAAGTCTCTCTATCATCTTGGCAACTCCTCTCCTCTTAAAGAAACCCTAAAGGGGGCATGCCCCACTCCATCTCTCTCATGGTTGCTTTCTTGTCTCTCATCATCTCTCATCTCACATTGGAGCTAAGCTATTGAGTTTGTGATCAAAGGGGTTCATGTTCCATTGATGGGGCTTGTCCAAACCTTGCTTTCCCAGTTGAGATTGAAGGTTGACCATTAGATCTCCCACTATCGAAAGGTGATGACTCAATGTGGGGTGTAAGAAGCCATGTTAAGGTATTATTTAACACCCTCTTTTGTTTCTTGCTTATTTGTTCATTGCTTTCTTTATTCCCAAGCATAGGTTGTATCTTTTCTTTGTTATTGAAAAAAAGTTTTTTGAATGGCTTCAAGTTCTTGAGATCCTAGTTGTGTTCTTTTTTTTATTTTATTTGAAGTTGTTTTATTATAAAAGGACTACTTATAAGTGATCTAAGCTGAGAAGAAGAAAAAAAAAGAAAAGAAAAAGAAGAAAAAGAAAGGAAAATATAATCCGGCTAGATCACAAGAGTCCTTCTTTCAATTTGATGGTGTGAAATTGCAACTCGAGAGCCCCATGGTGGGCACCAAACTATTTATGCGCAGATTTGAAAAGATCGCTAATGAGATCTCCTCAAATTTATGCCAAGTGGTTAAAACTTGATAGATTGATAAAGATGGAGCCGGTGGAATTACTGATTCAAAATTTATGCAAATCTGGCCCCTTTAAATCTGTTGGCAGCGCTTGCTAAAATATCACACCAAATAAACCTATAAAAGCTAAGAAAATCTAAACTTTACTGAATAAATCAAAAGGAAAAATACTAAATAAATCAAAAGAGAAACATAAAATAAACAAAATAAATAGAAAGAAGAGAGAAAACTTACTTGGGACCTAAAACCCGAGGTTCTGGGCTCGAATCCGGCTACTCTTGTGCTCACCTTGAATTTTTTTGGATTGTTTTTTCTTTTGTTGGGAAATTCATTTGGAAGCTCTATGGCTATGAAAATTTGGAGAAATTAGGCTGGAATTTCCTTAATCTAGGTTCTAAAGTTCATAAATGCTATTTAGGATTTTAGAGTTTCCAGAGCTTTTCAAAGAATTTTCCCTATTTTTTAAAGATTTTGTGTGATTTTTCCTAAGATTATAGGGCTTCTAGTATTTTTCACAAATTTCCATTTTTTTTGGATTTTATGGAATTATTTTTATTTTTTGGGAGTTTTTAGGGTTTTATGGATTTTTGGAGATTCTTTAGACAATTTTATGGTACTTTCGGGGGAAATTTATATAGAATGAAGTCCGAGGTACTTTAAAATTTGGTTTTGCGTTATCTTAATAACTTTTATAATTATAAAAATTTGGATTTATCTAACAGTTTAAAGCCTATTTGTTTTGGTAAAAATTTAGCCTTCAAAGTCTTCTAGAACGTTTCAGAGGCGGTCGGGGCCATTAGGCTAGCACGAAAGTGCGATCTGAGCCACGACTTGCATGGCCCATGCGCAATACGACTTCACTAGCACGGGGACCATAATGTTAGTTTTATGAACAATATTGCTGAGGTAATAACTTTGTAACTGTATATCGCATTTGGATATGTCTTGAACCTTTAAAAAAAAGTCTTGACCTCCTCGACAAATTAGACTTTTGGGTGAATTCGGATGTGCTAAGGGGTCCATGAATCTATAACCTCAAGGTGTCGGTTTTAAGGTTTTAAGGTTTCAGACTAACATCCAGGTTGGTCTCCTATTTTTATCAGCCTCAAGGGAATGTAGGATTACTAATTTAAGATCTTTAGATAGGTTTTGGGTAATTCGGATTGCTAAACTACGGAAAATAGTACTCTAAGTCAACTAAGTTGTAATGTTCTCCTAGATTCAAAATTACAGGTTTCTAAGAATCCTATTAGCCAGAACTTCAGAGGGGTTTCTACAATGCATTGTTCAATACTAAGAGTACTGAACAACATATTAATGAAAAAGTCTTGTTTTGTACAATTAATACCGACTTATATCAAAGCAACGAAAATGTTTGGTACTGCAATACCGAACACTAGTTTCTGAAATTTAACGACCTACCTAATTTAAGGATATATTGGGAAAAAATAAGCTAGAAGAAAGAGATATCTACGTAAAATCTAAAAATTTTGGAACATTGTTTAAATGAGTAATTATACTATGAGACCCTCTCACATCCATGTGTGCAGGATTTTAAAAGATCACCATTAAATTTAACACAGATCTATAAAAAAGTTATCACATGGGTGTGGGACTTGACTTTTTTAGAGATCTTACCAAATTTAATGGTAATCCTTTGAGGTCTCACATACATGGATGTAAGATTACTCTTTTTAAATAAACCTTAAATATTCAGATAACAACATGGATGTCCCTAAAACAAATGATAGGAATATCTCGTCTTCTCCAAGTACATGATGAAGCCGTCAGCCAATTACTAGCAGCAACCACTTGCTCGTCCCTCTAATGTAAGACAGGGAGGGCATCCACCGAAAGGGACTGGGAACAAATTTTTGACCATCACTGGGAATCCTCCTCACTCCATAATCCACTGCCCTCTCTCTCTCTCTCTCTCTCTATAACACAGTTAACCTCCGACTCAAATACTTTTTCACACGTTTACATGATATCCTAGTTTTCAACGCTATATTATATTGGTTTCCCTCTCCCCTCCTCCACCGAGTACTCCCATCTGCGGTTCTTCAGAATATATATACACAGCCATCAATCCAAAAGGAAAACTACCTCCTCTCTCTTAACCAAAAAGGAGGCCCTCTCTCTGTCTTCCCTCAGCTAGCAAAGCTCAAATTATTTTAGAATGGGTCTGGAAGTCCCTACCGTGATTCCCACGATTGATTTCTCAGGCGATGTCTGTGATGTTCGCCGTAAAGTGTTGCAGGCATGCGAAGAATTTGGTTGTTTTCAGGCTGTATACAACGAAAGAGTCTTGCACCAAGTTCGCGGCGAATTGTTCGATTCCATGATTGAATTGTTCAATCTCCCCACCGAGACTAAGGTGAAGAACGTATCGGAAAAGCCTTACTTTGGATATATTGGGAAATCAGATATTATTCCTTTGTATGAGAGCCTAGGAATAGAGCACGCACACTTGAAGGAATCAGTGCAAAGCTTCACCGATTTGATGTGGCCTAAAGGAAATCTTCAATTCTGGTAAGACAGACGAGAACCCAAAGAAGCCCAATCTCTCTCTCCCTTTGTCTCTCTTTGCATTTAATCAATCAATAACTTTTTCTACTAATCATAGCCAAAAATAAATAAATGATATATTGCGATATATATATATATATATTGTTCCAAGATGCACTATTTCCGTGACTCAAAAACTTTTTTTTTTCATATTCATACATTTCGATGTCGAGATGATTGACTAGAGTGTTTTTTTAACATTAAAACTACATTTTCCATATATTTTTGAGGTACATCTGTGATTCTACATTTTAAGGTTGCAACCTTATATAAGCTTTTCTCATATATATATATATATATGTGTGTGTGTGTATGTGTGTGTGTGTGTACGAAATGGGATAAAATTTAAGTTTTGAATGAAACTAAGGTAGTTTGAATTTTTTTGACCCCAAACACAATCGGTAATTTTTCAAGACAATATTTACTCTTTATTTTTCAAGACAATATTTACTCCTTACTGATAAGATAAAGTACATCATCTAAAACACTATGGGGCAAAAAGAGATATATATTAAAATTATAAATAATATTTTCTAAAACAAAATACAAAAATTCTTACTCTTCTTCCTTCATTTGCAATCTTCTCTTCATTTGGTTCTCTCATCTCATTTGGGTCTCCTTTAAATTCCATTTGTCTCTACAATATCTTCTCATTTTTGCTATCAATATTTTTTCTTTCTTCCTCATCTCAACTACTATGATTTTTCTTCGGGGCTGGTCTTTATCTTACGATTTCCTATCCCGCCTTACATTCATTTTTCTCCTCCTCATTTTCTTTTCTCTTGCTTCTTCTTCTTTTCTTGTTTTTTTTTTGACAAATATTTTCCTCTTTCTCTCCTTTTCCGATTCATTTTTTCCCTTGTCACATTGTGGTAGTACCATTGAGCTCCAGCTAAAAGTCACAGCTTTCATTCTAACGAACTCTATAAAAAAAAATTAACTCTTTTAAAAAATGGTTAGAGCATATAATCCTCACTTATCTAATAATAATCATAAAATAAAATTCTCTTTTTTTTCCATCCTTTTCTTTCTCATCTCAACGCATCTTTTATTACTTCGTAATTGCCTCCTCGTACCCCAATGTATATACATTCAGACTATTCCAATTATAATATGTTTTAACTATATTATTTTGCTCGACAATACCTGCACAATACTTTATAATTCCTTTTTTTAAAATATGAATACCATGTTCTAAGAATTAAAGGATCCCTGCATTTTTATAATCAAACAAAGTCAAATACTTTTGTTTACTCTTTCTAGAATACCCCGGATACCGTTTTAACCCCTGCACATATCATGTGTTCTTAGGATTTTTCACATCACATGCACATCACATACATAAACTTACAAAGATTGTACAGTAATAGAAAATTTTACTAGTAGAGGCATTTTTTATCATTTAGAAAGGTCGAATGGATATCTTTATAAAAAAATAGTTGAATTATATTGGTAGTTAAAAAACAATTCATACATGTTGTGGGTGATGTCACACACCATGTCGGTGATTTCATTATTCACTTTTATTAATAAATGTTTTTGTTTCTATTAAGAATTTCTACTTTACCTTTGACTAATTACTTAACCTACCCCTTGACAAAAAGTTACTATACTATAGGATAAGAGTATTTAAGTATCAAAAAAATGTTAGAGGACTTTAAAGGTATACAATA